GTCGCCGGGTGTCGTCGCCGTGTTCGCCGCAAGCAGGGCACCGACACTTTCCTGAATGTCAAAGCTCAGTTAGATCATTTTACCCACGAGAGATAAAAAAATTATTTCCATGTCACGTTCAAGTAAGCTGTGCAACCTGATCAACACCTGTGGTTTACACCCAGTCAAGTTATAAATGGCGAGGGGATTTTACGATACCCCACCTACCGTTTAAATGCCCTCTGGAAAAGAATAATAAGGAGGGACGGTAAGTTTCTGCAAGACGCGACGCTGCTCGGGGCGGTGCGGTCTAATCTGAGCCCTCCTTGCTCTTGCTATGCCGGCATGTGCTGAAACTGCAAGTTTGTAGTAGGCGATAGTGCGGCGCGAGCGGTCCATAGGCTGTTCCCCGCTGCCGCGCTGCACCGACTGACCGTCCCTCTTACGAACCTGTTCCGGCCTCGGCGGGCGGTCCCTTCTTTTTAGACACGCTGCAGACTCGTCGGCGAGGACCTCAATATTAATATGGAGCGGCCCCTTCCGCGAGGCGCGGCGGCCGGTGCGTCGGGCCGGACGGACGCGCGGCGCCTGGAGGCGGGCAGGCGGGCCGGCCCGTGTAGATGGAGATAGCGGCCGGCAGGAGGCCCCGGCCCGGCAGGCCCTGGCCGTGCAAACAATGGGAATTACACGCGTCTTCAATCTCCTTTACGGCACCGCGCGGCGCGCAGCACCTGCAGATGCAACAGCTGTGATATGATGATCATGTTCGTCTCGATCGGCTCGGCGGCCCCGCTGAGCGTCCAAGTCGGACACGGCCCATCAGCTCGCAGGTGCGCCTGCCCCGACCCGCTCGTCGCTTGCTGCAGCCTTGTTTTAGGAGCCCTTGCTACAGGGCCCAGCGACCAATTTGTTGCCAGCGAAAGATGTAGTTTAGTTTTTTTTTTACGTTATTTTTTGTTTCGTGGCGTTAGGCTGGAAACGCGTTTGATGATACTAGATAAGGCGTTTTTCCCCTGTCTCGATTTAGAGTGAGGAAAGAGCGTGGTCACAATTAGTGCCGGATTAAATTAGCAGATAGATGATATGGCAGAGAACTTTTTCACAGTGGATGCTCACATTTCTCCCGTTTTGTTCCTCCTGTGATTTAAGACCGAGTTGTTTTTTTTCCCCCTCTCTCTCTCTCGCGGAGCGTAAACGAGCTGCAGAAGTCCGCGCAAGGAGCACCCGGCTCACCAGCTGCGAACAACGACGCACCTGCTGAAAGCAGGGCGCCAAAATACACCGCAGTGCGCCTTCGCGTGATGCGGGTAGGGACTTCCCTCGGAGGGACCCACTTGTCATATCTGCGCTCTTGCATCTCGCCACACCTCCCTTCTTTTATTTTTTTTTTCGCCCGCCGTTCCCACCTTGCTCTCTGCGCGCGGAACGAGCAGTTAAGCAAAGTCAACGCGGGACACAAAAAAAGGAGCAAATAGAGCACCCTGGGGGCTGCTGGGCCGGACGAGTGGTCGCCGTTCAAAGCCAGCAGTTCCAGCAGGAGGCGGGGCGGGGCGGGGCCGGCCGCCAACGAGACCATCAACACTGTTTCCTGCCCGCCATAAAACCACATTTCATCAGGGCGGCAAAAGTGCGTAACGGGTGTGGGACGCGACGCAGATTATTGCGAGGGTCATGGCGATGTGTCGTCGTCGTCCCGCAGCTCGCGCGAGCAGCAAGTTCGGCAGTAAAAACTTGAGTGATTCAGAGACGCCGGGCTGAAAGGTGAAAGTCCCCTCCTCCAGCTCCATGAGCAGGCGGCAGCTCCGCCACTATGTAGAACTGGCCATGGGTCGCTCTAAGCGCGTCTTTAATTGCTCCTGGGAGCGGCCCAGGCTTATGCTAAACACGACCCACCTCAATATAACGCTTCCGCGCCGTGGAAGTGCCAGACGGAAGTGCGGCGGCGCTGAGCTCGCGGGAGCAGCACGTGTAGCGCCATGAGTTACTGCGGCTCATCACACCCGAGCACGACACTCAAACAACTGTGTTTTGTTTCTCTCCTCTCTCTCTCACAGGTGCTCGAGCTCATGAAGGAGGTGACGGAGGACGACGAGGACTCGAGCGACATCTCCGGCTACCACTCGGACTCGGACTCGGCCATCATGATGTCGGGCAACTCGCCGTACGTCAGCAAGCGCGCCCGCTACAACTTCCTCACGCGCTCCGGTGAGTGCGACGCGCGAGCGGGCCGAGAGGGGACGGCCTGCAGAGGGGGCGGCCTACAGAGGGGGCAGCCCACAAAGGGGACCTCCTACAGATGGGGGAGCGTACAGATAGACAACCTACAGAGGTGACGGCGTACAAAGGGGACGTCCTACAGAGGGGACAGCCTACAGATAGACAGCCTACAGAGAGGGCGGCCTACAGAGGAGACAGCTCACGGAGAAGACAACCTACAGAGGGGTCAGCATACGTAGGGGACAGCCCATAGAGGGGACAGCATAGAGGGGAAGGCCTACAGTAAGACAGCTTTCAGAGGGGGTGGTCTACAGAGGAGACAACCTAAAGCTCGGCTCACAGAATGCACATCCTACAGAGGGGACAGTCTATAGAGGGGACAGCCTACTGGGGGGACAGACAGCTGGTGGAAGCGGGTGGGCGCGGTGGGTAGGCCGACCTGTCGCGCGCAGATGCCCTGCGGTACTGCCTACCCTCAGGGCGCCCTCGTGGAGTAAGAGACACATAGGCCGCCGCCTGTTGGATATGGAGGCAGGGCTCTGCCGGCGCTGCTACCCCCCCCCCTCCCCGTTTTTCCCCGCTGCCGGCCTGCCACCGGGCAAGGCTCAATGAGTAATGCCACCGCCATTCGGAGTCCCATTCGAGTCTCATTCGCCTAGCAGCGTACAAGGGAGCCATCGCATCGCCACCGTGTGGGTCCAATAGCGCCGGCTCCGCCATCATCACGCCCATCTCGCACTCAAAGGCGCCGACACGCACACACACATACACACACACAATCACACACTGCGCGGGGAGGATGCGGCTGCGGCATCAGGGAAAAAAACATGTGAAGAGTAGGAGGTGTTATATTGTGATGAGTACATAGAGGGGGGAAACGAGGTGGGGAAAGCAGGGGGGGGGAGGATTTTCTTGGAATGCAACGGAGGCGGCGTATATGTATGTAGTACGCATCGTTCCGAGAAGCACACACACACACACGCGTACGAGGGACAGCAGCATGCTGTCGAATTCGGGCCAGCCGCCATCATTACCATCACTATCGGCCTGCAAATGTGTGTGTGAGTGTGTGTGTGTCCCGGCCAGGAGATAGAAACATGACGGTTTATTATTATCGTTATTATTCACTGACTGCGGGAACCGAGTGCCGCACACGGTGGTAGTGCAGTATAGAAATGTGTGTGAGAATCAACTCAGTCGGTAAATGAAAAAAAAAAACAACTGAAATGTAAACGTTGATGTTAACGGGGCGTGACAAAAAATCACTGAAGACATGCACAAATAACATTTTGCGATCCCAGGCTTACACACTTTACACTTCTTGCTGCTTCGTGGCCAACTTGTTCCCCCGGACGAAGGATGGATGATGATCACACACAAACACGAGTTATCCGAGAAGCCAGCGGAAATAAGTGTTGGTTATTTTTGTTGCCGTTGAAGCGGGGATACCGATTTGTTCGAGTGACGAGCCAATTGGAGCTCGCGGTGCAGGTTAGTCATCGCGAGAGCAGATCGCGGCCGAGCGATAGCGGTGGCTGCGCGCCCGGCAGCGGCCCCGCCGGCCTACACGCCCGCCTCGTGTCGCACCAACGAGCGGGGGGAAAGGGGCGGTATAGGACGGCCGGCACTGGTAAAACAAGTGTTTAATGTTGAACGCCAATTGGTGTTTAAGTTCAAGTGTGCATTTTCTCAACACGTTGTGGCATTTAACTAGGTAAACGTCAATTGGTGTTTAAACTTTAAACACTTCCGAAAAGTATAGCAGCTGCAAGCCACATGGTTTCTATAGATTTGTGTGTGTCCAAGTGTGCAGAGTCTAAACGTTTACAAAACGTTTAAAATGTGCACACCAACACCACGCAAGTGTGCAACTTGAGCTAAACACCATGTAGTGTTTAAAATCATAACTTAAACACGTTGGTGTTTAAATTATGCACACGTTGTTTTACCAGTGGGGAGTGGCGGAGCGCTACCCGCGAGATCCACGTCGATGGAGGAAGGTTTCGAGGTGGCATCAATCAGTGGCTCACGGCGTGTCTCCTCTCTGTTCTAGTCCGCTCCTCCAGCAAGTGCTCCCGCCTGAGCGTGCTGGGCGGCGCGCTGAGCGGCACGCTGGGCCCGCTCGGCCCCAAGCTCTCCACGTCCTCCGGCGTGTCCTCCGGGCTCTCCTCGGGCGGCAGCGTCCCGGACAGCTCCGAGTGCGTCGAGTGCACGGCGCGCGGCGGCGGCGCGAGCAGCGGCTCCGGGTCCGCGTCGTCCAGCGAGGAGGCCCTGTCGTCGTCGTCGCCGACCCCGCCCACGGCGTCCCTGGCGGCCGGCAGCCACGCGCCGCAGCGGCTGCGCCACCTCAAGCACAAGAAGGACCTGCTCAAGAGCAACTCGGTGCCCGGTGAGTAGGCGGCCTGCAGCCGCTCGCGGCTCGTCTCCCCTTTACGACCGGGTCCGCTGCTGAAAGCAGGCGCCCGGGTAGCCCCGCCACGCGAGGCGCGCATGAGCAATTAATTCATAAAATGAAAAGGCGACTTGCTCGCCGGGAGGGAGAGTGGGGTACTAATGTCGTCCCACTCGTCCACGACCGAGGCGTGAATAACTCCCCTGCTAAGTGTACAATTCTGCTCAATTCAAACTAGAATTCAATCCAATTCAATTTAACTCAACACAGTCCAGCAGTAACTCAAAACCAATCCAATCAATTTAGTCCAATTTCAAGTTAATTCAGTGCAGTAAAATCGCAATAATTCAAACCAGTTCAATGACAAGTCAATCAATTCAGTCCAATTCAAATTCAATTCAAGCCAATTCAAATTCTATTTACGAAATTTGTACACCTAATTCAGGAGTTATCTACCCAACTCGTCCACGACGCTAACGTGTTCTTCTCGTTCCGCAGGATCGGCGCTGGGCGGCGGGTCGCGGGCCAGCAGCGCCGTGCCCTGCTGCCAGGGCTGCCAGCCGCGCGCCGTGCTGCAGGTGCTGCCGCCCAGCGGCGAGCGCGAGGCCCGCGAGGCCCGCGAGGCGGCCCGCCTGCGCGCCGAGGTGGACACGCTGCGCTCGGAGCTCGCCGTCGCCAAGACCCGACTCACCGCCGCCGAGGAGACGAGCAGGTGCTGTAGCGCTGTAGCGGCGGGCCCCGCGGCGGGGAGGGACGCGACGCGACCAGTGACTTTCACTCTCGTTCTCGAGCCCACGTGCCCTGCCGGCGGGCGCAGCAGGGCGGGGCACTTACGGGCGCGGATAATCCGTTCAGGAGCCGGCGGCGTGCAACGGCTCTTAACTTGCAGCCATTTCATTGGATCGTCGTCGTAGTCACTGGTCAATGACTGAATAACATGACTTTGACGCGCGCGTGGAAAATAGTTATTATTATTGCAAGTTTGTCGCGTTGTAAATTTAGTTTCTTCAGCCGATCGTTGCGGTTGCGTGTCGCGGCGGTGTTACACGACGTACTCGCGCCCGTCCAGCTGTTGTGCTCACCCTGCAACCTAATGATTGTGTTTCTCCCAAGGCGAGTGTGTCACTTGCAGCCTGGCGGTCCGCGACGGGCTGCGGCCGGACCGACGGGTATGGTGCGGAGAGGGCACGCCAGGGCACGGGACACTGATGCAAGCCGACTGCTGTGGCGCGCGACCCTGGCCGGCGTTGGTTCCCACGGGAGCCGGCCCCGTCGTGACAGTCAGCTGTGATATTATTATTTCCAATGCAGAACACAGACGTTTCGACAGATTCCGCCACCATCCCACCGGTGGACACTCGGAGCAAAAACAATGACGCTACACTCAATCCATTTCATTTCGGCTCGGCCCTTCCCCTGCTGCGTTGCGCTGACCTCGTTCTTATGTTGCAGACCTAGCAGCCTCCCCCCTGCAGGCTCCGACGAGCTGGGCGCCGAGCGCCTCGTGGCGTGCTATGCCAACCTGTACTCGCAGGCGCGGGTCGACACCCTGGACGCGCTCGACGCGCTACCCGCGCTGCGGGACGCCACCGAACTTAAGTCTAAGATCTTGTTTTCTGTCGTTGTGGTGAGTCCCCGCGCTGGTGCGGCCCCCCGGGCCCCTACACCTTCTTCAGGGTGCCCCGCTTACCTGTCCTTTCCTCTTTCCGTTTTCCGCTACCCGGATGTAACAAATATACGTGCGGCGAACCGAACATTAATTTTTTTATCGACATCTTTGTCTGAAAACCTAAAAACCTTTGTGATATTACTGTAACTTTAATTTGGAGATAATAAGTAACCATACACAACAAAAACAAACAACCGCAAAAAGTTTCAGTTCGCCCGCGGCCTTTCGATGTTAACACGCGCCTTGTTATTCTCTGTCCTTTACGCACACCCTTCCGCTTGAGACACTAACTCGCTTCCAGCCCAGAAAAGGGCCGTAATGCATGTAGGCCTTGCACGAGGCCATGCTCCCCGCCCCGCGCCGGGCGGGAGTATCCCCGGGAGTTTATCCCCGCCGGTGGCTGTCGGTCCGGTCCTCTCCACCAACTGTCCTCTCCGACTCACGATCAGGGCCGACACTTGATCCGACTGGACTGGACTGGATAAGAATGCAGCTCACGAGAAAGTTCTGTGAGCAGATACAACAAGGGGCGGCTGGCCTGGGGGATAAAAAGTGGTCCGGAGAGGAAGAAGTAGGAAGGGAGGGAGGGAGGGAGGCATGTCACCGAAGGGCCTTTGCTCCGTGGCCCGTGTGTGCTCGTGCGCGCACGTGCGCATCGCCGAATTTTACGGCCGTATTGTCAGAAGGCCGAGAGCACCGTCATGCAGATCGAGGCGCGGCCCGCTTAATGCCCTCCAGTGCCGGACCAGGGACCAGACGGCGCTTCCATGACAACAGTGATTTGGGCGCGAAATTTTAAGGGCCATGCGCGGAGGGCGTCTGGATCGGCTGGCTCCTCCTTTCCTGGAACTTGTTGAATGCCGGGCGACCGGGCGGCCCGCCGCCCAGCGCCCCGCCTCGACCGACACCCCGGGTCCCTTTTGGTCCTGTCAACTTGACCCAAATTATTGTTTCTTTCGGCTTCCCTCATGTTTTCACCGCCAGCCCTCCTCCCTTTGCTTTGCATTTGCTCACGATATCTCGTAAACGACACACGGAGGAGAGAATTTAAATTTCTCCCGACCCGACTCCGACTGACTGGGGAACAAAAAGAATGATCGAACAATAGTGTAGTAATTTGGGCTCAAATGCGACGCCCGCAAAACTGTGAATATATTTGCTCTGGCATGTAGGGAATACGTGGAAGATCTTACCCCTTGCCTATCCTGTACAACTTTATTGGGAGCCGGTGAAGGAGCGACCCCTCTTCAAACTCTGTCCTGCTATGAGCAGGACGGCCTGGACGCACCCCGCGCGGCACGCGCGCGCGGCACGCTGCACCCGGACAGGGGCCTGGGGCCCGGCGGGGGAGCCGTGCTGCACGAGTGGGTGCCGACAGGCCGTCCCTGTCCTCTCTGCCCGATAATGATTCTGGTCCGTTTTCGTCTGTTTCCCTGCCTTCTCCAACCACCATCCTACCCGCGCCTCTCTGAACCATCCGCACGCAAACTTCTCTACGCCTGCCTGACAACGCCTGCCCGACGATGCCTCCCCGACGACGCCTGCCCGACGATGCCTCCCCGACGACGCGTGCTCGACGACGCCTGCTCAACGACGCCTGCTCCACGACGCCTGATCAACAACGCCTGCTCATCGATGCCTGCTCGACGACGCCTGCCCAACGACGCCTGCTCATCGATGCCTGCTCGACGACGCCCGTCCAACAACGCCTGCCCAACGACGCCTGCCCGACGACGCCTGCACGTCGACGACCGCCGATCAACAGCTCGCCTTCCGTTCCGCCCAGAGCCTGCTCGCCCTCAAGAAGGACCACATTCGCCGCATCCTGCACCTGCCGCCCCCGTCGGCGCCCGCCGCGGACCAGCAGAAGGACCCCGCGAGCACGGCGGCGGCCCAGGAGCTCGAGCAGCACGTGTCGACCTACCTGCGCAGGACGGTGGACACCTTCGACCTCACCAAAAGCATAGACGTGCGTCAACCTCCTGCTCGCAATCCCGCTGATAATTTCCATCCGAACCCTTGCTCCCTAACATGTCAACATTTTTGTCCACAGGAGGTTTGCAGCCAAATTTGGGCCACGCTGTACGACTACCCGAGCCTCAAGGCGTGCACGGGGCTCTTGCAGTACGTGCGAGACTCCATGCGCTTGGCGTGGGCCCTCGTCAACCAGGTACAGTCAACGGCAACCGACAGAGATGGGGCACACGACAGAATTCGAACGCAAAACTATAAACGTCGCTCATTTTTTGTGTCAGAATCCTACGTACGTGCTCGAGTACGAGCAGCGCCACTTTCGACGAGACGTCCACGTGCGCTTCCACTCTTCCAACCCCGACAGCGAGGCCATCCGCACCTACCTGTGGCCCGCCCTACTCGAGGGCGCCGGCGGGCCCTGCGTCCACAAGGCCGTCGTGCTCACGTAGGGAGACGGGTCGGAGACGCGCGCCCAGCCCAGACCGACGTAAGTTGCGAGGGAGTCTTGTCGTCGAGGAAAGTGCCACCATGGTGCTCGTGCACGTCTTCACCCACATGTCCGTCCTGCCCCAGGTGCCGGGTGAGGCGGCGGCGGAGTGTTCGCCACGCGAGCTACGCCCCGTAGCCGGTGCCCGAACAGCGGCCGCAGCGCGGGGGCACCCTGGAACACCCCGGCTATAGCAGTGCGCATAGCTGGCGTGCTGACCCGGTGCACCCCCCCTGGCCCCCCGGACTCCGCTCCTCCTCGCCCCGGGCCGCCCGGGCCGACGGCCTGCCCCCGGTCGCCGCCGCCGCATCAGCCGGCGCAAGGAATGTCAGCATTTGCAACACAAAATGCCAGCCACAGTTCCTGAGCGCGAGAGGCCTGCCGCCGGCCCGCCCGGCCACCCGGCCGCCGGACCCGCGCACCGCCCCTCCTGGAGCCGCCTAGAGCCAAACTTGAAAGACTTGTAACTAAAGTGCTGCGGTTGATACTTACTACTCCTTGATTATTAAACGGGCAGGCCGCCCACCGCAGCCATATTGTGGCGCCCGCCCTCACGCTCAGGCGATGCTCGTCGGAGTATCGTGCGAAGTGCACCGCATAGTAGTGTTCGCCCCGGTGCCATCTGTACAGCCGTAGCCTTACAGGAGCGTCGACGGTGGGAAGAGAGTTCTCATTCAAAGTGGATCGCCACTTTGTATTTACACGACACCACCCACTCGTCCGGCTTCCCACATCCGTCGAATCGCTCTGAGTATATTCTTCCCACTTTTATATTGTATTTTCCCATGTGATTTTTTTGGTTTATAAAATAAATGTAATTTATTCCAATTTCTCATCTTGATTTGATCTTTTTGATTGGTGGTAGGAGGTGCTGATCGGTTCCGATGGTGACGATATTTCGCTGGGACGCTTTTTTTGCAGTGCAGCGAGCGCGCGATGGTCGGGGCAGCGGATTTACCCTAGATATCTCGAAGGATCTGCCGCAATAGAAACAATTGATCCAGATTAGAGAAAGAGGGAGAAGGATGGACAGAGTCGGGCTGGCGTCGGTGTGTGAGTTATCTCCGAGGATTATCTTAGATACGAAGAATGCATACACACACACACGTCACGCGAAATAGAGGAGGATTAACCATAGCATCGCTCCCTTTACGAAAAGAAAACTCATTCGGGGGACTTACATTCGAGGGGGAAGTTGATCCCGGTCGTCTCCGACAGCCAGTCGTAGAAGACGTTGACGCGGGTGAAGAAGATGGGGCAGCCCTTGGTGCATCCGCCGGTGCAGGCCACCTGGCTCATGAGCCCCACCTGGATCAGGTTGCCGTCCGTGTCGTTGAGCGTGAGCGGACCGCCGTTGTCCCCCTGCGGAATGTCACCAATACAACAGATGAAGAACACTATCAATTTAATTTCTACCAATTTTCTAAAAGGGATTTGCTTATAGTTGCACTTATAGGCGCACTTAAATGTGTGCTGCCGTCGAACCGTTGCACGATCGCATAGGAAGTACTCACGGTGCAGCCGCTGGAGCCGAGCGCCTCGACGCACATCTGCGAGGCGTCGCTGGAGCCCCACGTGTTGTAGCACGGGTACTGGGACACGATGGGCAGCGTGGTGAACCTGAGCTCCGAGGTCATGACCAACGCGCCTGTGAGGAGTAAGAAGGCGTCATAAGCGTGCCGGGCTCGCTTAGGGGGTCGTCCAGAAAGTAGTTTATCCGTTCACATCAGGTTCGTTCGTCAGGTTATGTGAGCTCGATGCCTGCGAGACTCGGGGTAGGCCACCCCGCACTACACGTATGCGCTAGAGGCAAGATGTTGCCTACCTACAAGGCGCTATGAGAGCACGCATAGGCTGAATTGAGCAGTTTCGTGACGGCGGACGCACTTTCTGGATGATTCCTTAGCGAGGTCGCCGCTCGTCCGCTCACACTCACCTTGCCCCACGTCGTTGGTGTAACCGAAGCCGGACAGGACCGCCTTCTGGCCGGCGTAGTTAACCCCTTCGGGGGCGAGGGCCACCAACGCGATGGTGTCTGGAAGGAGCACGCACAGAGGTTACGGACGGCCGCGGTGCGGACGGTACGGTCAGAGAAGTGGAGCAGAGGGACTCGAGCATACCCGAGAGCTGCACCTCCCGGGGCAGCTGCAGCACGCCGATGTCGTAGGCGGCGCGCCTCGAGTCGTACCTGTCGTGCCTGGCCGCCCAGCTGGTCACCATGGTCACGCGGCCGGCCTCCTTGGCCTGCACCGCGTTGCTCACCCCCAGCATCACGGCCCACTTGGTGAACCTGCACGCCGCGGCGCATCGTCGTCTCAGGTGTCAACGAGTCATCATGGCCCTGGTGTTCGTCACCGACCGCCGCTGCTGCACTTACCCGTCGATGCATTGGGCCGCCGTGAGCACCCACTTGGGGTGGATGAGGGAGCCGCCGCAGAACGGTATCGCCGGGTCGTACAGGGAGCGCTTCTCGCCGAGGTTGGGGTAGATGGCGGCCTGGTGAGGGAACTGCGTCCGGTAGGCCACGTCGCCGTTGATGATGCGCAGCCTGGAGTCGGCGGCTGGAACAACACATCATACATACCGAGTTGAGGGCGTCCATCCCCCCCCCCCCCCTTCCCCCGCCTGGAGAGCTCCCAGCGTGTCGTGCCCCTCTTACCGGCGCTCGCCAGGGCGGCGCACAGGGCGGCGGCGAGCACGAGGGACTTCATGGCGAGGATCGCTGCTGGCCACTGGCTCGTAATCAGCCCGCCGCCCGTACATAAGCCGGCGATATCTCACGACGGGCCGTGTTCTGGTGACGATCAAAAGTGGGCGGAGGAATCAAGTCAATAGATGTGAACGAGTTGAGGGCGCAGACAGAAGTGGAGTTTATTGGGTCTACATTCAGCAGGAAAACAATATGGCGCCAAAAGTACAGTGGAAGAAGAATAAAAGTTGGAGCAGACAAATTACCAACTGTTGAAAACATTAAAACATAACACCCCCACTTAATTTGGCAGCGTAAAATATCAGTAGAAAAATGACCTTGCTATAAAAAAGTTAATTCAAAAAATTAGTTAAGGCCAGAATTAAAAATACAATAGTTGGCCACAAAAATAAGGGATTGAAGATCCTGTTATGACCATCACTAAAAACGACTAGAAATAAGCCCTTGTAAAAATAAAAAAATCTACAAGTACAATAAAACAAAAGGGGTTTTTCTTAAAAATTGGCCAAAATGCCTGAACATTGCTAATAAGCAAAACAAGGTCAAAAATGACTGAGATCAAAAATTGATACATTGAGATCAAATTAAAAAAAAAATTGAAATCACAAGACACAATAGAGAAAATTGACAAAAT